AGGCAGTGTGATTGGCACAGGATAGAGCAGGTTTTAGGGTTGTTGTACATAGGGTTGCTATGAGTAGCAAGTGACTCGACGGCACATAACAACAACAATTACAACATTTTTTTAAAAAAATTTTAATTTGATTTTAAGAGAAAAATTACATTTTACCCCCTCTCCTTCCCCAAGTAGACTTTTAAAAAAAAAAATCCATTCATTGTTGAACAATTACCTTCCCTCTCCCACTCCTATTTTATTCTGGGTTGTTGTCGTACATATAATGCCTAATAATAGATTTGTTTTAAATAGTTCTTTCCTTCATCTGTTCCAATGCAATGTGCATTATCTATCTACTCTTATCCTATTCTCTTCTCAACCCCCAATGTCAGATCAGCATTGTAACAGTGGTGCTATGCAGTATTTGTTGTTTTTTGACTGAGATATTTCACTTAGAATAGTGTCCTCCAGGGACACCTATGTTGTGTACTGTTTAACACCTTCATTGCTTGTCAGTGCTGCATAGTATACCATTGTATGAATAAATATACCACAGTTTTTCTATCCATTCATTTGGTGATGGGGACTTGGGTTGTTTCCATCTCTTTGCTATTGTGAGCAATGCAGCAATAAACATGGATGTGCATATATCTGTTTGGATGGCAGTCCTGGTTTCTTTAGGATATATTCTCAGTAGTGGCATTGCTGAGTCAAATGGTATTTCTTTTTCCAACTTTTTGAGAAAGCACCAAACCACCATCCGTAGTGGTTGCACCATTTTACATTCCCACCAGCAGTGAATAAGGGTTCCAATCTCTTAACAACTTTGCCAGCATTTGTTGCTTACTGATCTTTTGAACTTTGCTATTGTTGCTGGGATGAAATACATTGTGCTTCATACAATCATTCCCACAATAATGTATGGGAATTTATTATTTATTATTATATTTTTACATAACATATAGCATCTATATTATATAATCCATAAATATTATGTAATATAGAATAGATTTATTATATTTTCTTATTTATTAATCCCATAATAATGTATGGGAATTTATTATTTATTATATAGGTTGAAAAAGTATGGAGATAGGACACATCCCTGTCATACACCCTTCCCAGTTTTGAACTATGCAGTGTTTCCTGGTCCAAGTATAGGTTTCACATTAGCACAATCAAGTGCTCTGGGATTCATATTCCTCTCAGAGCCACAGCTTGTTGTGATCCACACAATCAAATGCCTTTGCATAATCAATGAAACACAGATAGACATTCCTCTGGTACTCCCTGCTTTCAGCCAAGATCCCTCTAACATTAACTGCAATATCCCTAGTACCAGGACCCCTTCTAAACCCAGCCAACACTTCTGGCAGTTCTCTGTTGATGTGCTATTCCAGTCGTTTTTGGATAATCTTCAGCAGAATCTTGCATGCATGTGATATTGTTTGATAATTCCCACACTCTATTGGGCTACCTTTCTTTGGAATGGGAACAAATATAGATTCCTTCCAGTCAGTTGCTCAAGTGGCTTTCCTCCAAATTTCTTGGCACAACTTGGTGAGCACATCCAGGGCAGCATCTGTTCGTTGAAATACTTCAATTGGTATACTGTCTATTCCTGGGGCCTTATTTTTTGCCAATTCCTTCAAAGCAGCTTGAACTTCCTTCATCACCATAGGCTCTTGCTCATATGTCATTTCATGAAATTCTTCTGTGTTTGCCAATTCCTTTCAGTACAGTGACTCTGTATACTCTTTCCATCTTATTTTAATACTTCCTGGATCATTTAATGTGAGACAGATTTTCAATTTGATACAACTCTCAAAGAAGTGTTGTTGTTGTTGCTCTTGTTGTTATGTGCCATTGAGTCGCTTGCAACTCATAGGAGCCCTATTTACAAGAGCCCTAAACCCTGCTCTATCCTGTCCCAACCTTATTGTCTCTGACACACCTACCCCCATTATCCCAGTTACTGACTCGATCTGTCTCATCTAGAGTCTTCCTCTCTTGCATTGTCCCTCCACCCTCCCAAACATGATGTCCCTCTTCAAGGACCAGTCCCTCCTCATAATATGCCCAAAATATGTCAGAAGAAGCCTCAGTATCCTTGCCTCTAAGGAGCAGCCCGGTTTCACCCTTTCCAGGGCAAACCTGTTTGTTCTTTTCTGTCATCCCTAGTCATTGTCCAGCTCTCTGATGCATAACAAGTAATTGCAAAGATTATGGCCTGGATCAGGTGAACCTTAGTCTCCAGACTGATGTTGTTGCTCTTCAGTACTCTGGAGAGGTCCCTGACAACTGACTTTCCCAATGTAATTCATCTCTTGATTTCCTGGCTGCTGGTAACAAGAGTGTTGATTGTGGAGCTAAGTGAACTAAAACTGCTAACTATCTCAATCTCTTTACCATCCATACTGATGCTGCCAGTTGGCCCAGGGGTGAGAAGTTTTGTTTTCTTGATGTTGAGCTTCAATCCATATTGAAGGCTGCAGCCTTCTTCAGCAAGTGCTTCAGGTCCTCCTCAGTTTTGTCATCTTCATAAAGCAGGTTGTTGATGACTCTTCCTCTAATCCTGATGCCACATTACTCCTCATACAGCCCAACATCCCAGATGATCTGTTCTGCGTATAGATTGAAAAGGTATAGAGACAGAATACATCCCTGGTGTACACCCTTCCCGATTTTGAATCATGCAATGTCTCCTTCTGGTTTAGGTTTTTCTTTATTTATTTTAGTGGGAAAACTGTATGTTTCAAGTAATAGCATTGTTTTCTCCGATTATTTTTTAAGTTCTGTTTACTTGTCACATCATATTAATATCTGATTCAGGAATCATTTATATACCCTAGATCTGTAGACTAACTCATATTTGAGAAAGAATAGGAACAAAAAATGATCAACCTAATTTCACACCTTGCTACTTTATTCTTACAAGTCCTAAGATAAATCTTTGGAACCATGGAGCTGATTGGTGTTTTCAAAGTAGATAGTTTTATCCTATAGGCCGAAACTGCCATATCCTCACCCTTTACTGTTTGCCACTTTGAAAAAAAAAATTCTCTTTCTGGTATTCATTATCAGGATGAATAGAATTTCCAAATTACTTTGAGAAGGATTGGCAAGTACTAGTCTGCCACTTTGTGTTTCCTAATGTATGGCAGATAGAATTAGTCTAGTCTACAACAATATTGCTCCCATTAGTCAAATTCCTAAAGCATATGGTATCTCTTATTTTTCTGTGCTGTCAGATCGACTACAACCTGTAGGGACACTATGAATAATTGCTCTGAACCCTGCCCTTTCTTGAGCCAATCTCACTTTCTCTGACACACTTGCCCCCATTGCCACAGTCACTGGGGCAATCCGTCTCATCCAGGGTCTTCCTAATTGCCCAGATTTGGCAGAAGAGATGACACCTAGGTGATGGAGATAGACATGTTTATCCTGGAAAACAGAAGACCCATAAGCATCCAGTTAGTGTCTTCATATATTAGTTAGTTATATTGCATTGGGAAAGTTGGCTGTGAGGGACCTCTCAAGAGTACTGAAGAGCAACGATGTCAGGCTGGAGACCAAGGTGTCCCTGATCCGGGCTATAGTCTTCGCAATTATGTGCCATGCATCAGAGAGTTGGACAGTGAATAGGGCTGATAGAAAGAGGATTGATGCCTTTGAGCTGTGGTGCTGGAGAAGAGTGTTGAATATACCATGGACTGCTAGAACAAACAGGTGTGTCCTGGAGAGGGTGAAGCCAGAGTGTTCCCTGGAGTCAAGGATTCTGAAGCTTCGTCTGACATATTTTGGGCATGTTGCAGGGAGGGACTGGTCCTTGGAGAGGGACATCATGTTTGGCAGAGTGGAGGGGAGGCGAAGGAGAGGAAGACCTTTGGTGAGATGAATCGATTCTGTGACTGGACCAGTGGGAATAAGTGCGTTTGAGATGGCTAGGTTGGCACAGGATAGAACAGCATTTAGAGCTCTTGTACATAGGGTCGCTATGAGTCGCAAGCGACTCGATGGCACATAACAACAACAACATAGTATAGTTGGTGCATGCCATTCTCTACTTGCCAACTACTGAGTCCATTTCAACTCATAGGTTTCTGGGAACGTAAATCTTTGCAGGAAAAACTTCCTCCTCCCATGGAGAAGCTGGTACATTCAAACTGCTGACCTTTTGGTTGACAGTACAACATATACTGCGCCATGCCACCAGAATGCCTTATGGCATTCCAGAGGAATATAATAAGGGCAGTGCCTGGAAGTATATTGAGTACAATGTCTCTTGAAAAAGAAAAAAAAAGCTACATAATTAAATGTAGCTTATAGTTCATTCCTTTTCAAAAGGAGCTTTACAAACATATATTACATGTACAGTAAGAGACTTTCAAATTTGTTAATCCTAGTATTGTTAAATACTCTCTACAGAACTTTTTTCTAGAGAACTCAGATTAGGATGTTGGTTCCAAAGGTGGTGGCAGGACCAGCAACACCAGCATTAGTTGGTAACATATCAGAAAATGCATCTCCTTGGCCCCACTCCACCTCTATGGAATTAGAGAATTCATCACTGTGCTACTGAGATATAGATATATAGATTTATATTTAGATATAGATATAGATATAGATATATAAACAGTTACTGTTCTTGGGCCAGTGAATTCTTTCTTTTGCACTGTTCTTTGCAAAACATAAGCTTCCCCCTCCCCTTACACATTGAACTATCTGTAATATAAATTCTACTCTTTCAGAAGTTAATAAGATTAAGACTTTTCCCAGTTTCTCTGCATTAGCAGAGATTAAATGCTGCTGACATTATATTTATCTCTTCAGATAACCAAGATGTTTTTAGAAAATGTAGCTGAAGTATAATGTATTGTTGTTGTTGTTGTTGTTGTGTGCCACCAAATCAGAACGGTCCTATGGCTGACACTCCAATGGATTTTCAGAGGCAGGAAATCTCAGAGGAAGTGATTGTCCATCCTCCTATGAAGCAGCTGGTGGGTTTGAATGCCATACTTTTGTGTTGGCACAAAAATCCTTACCTTAATTCCTTGACACTGTGTTTATATCTAAAAATTTAAAAGTGCTTCATAAGTGAACATACAGCCATTGATTGATTTCTTTTTCTAGACATCAGAAGTCTGTTTGAATGCTTATATGATGAAAATTTACTGCTGTTGAGGGCTGAGGATGGGTGGTGGGGTGTGTGTGTGTATGTTAATCATAGGGTTGCATAATTCGATGGGTAGAGGAAGGAGTGAGTAAAAGAAATGGGAATGATTCAGTGTGGAAAACAGTGCATACTAGGTTAAATAAACCAGTAGAAAATAAAAATTTTATTTAAATTAAAAAAAAAATTCTCACTGCGGTCAAGTCACTTCTGACTCTTAGTAGACCTATGTTGTTGTTGTGTACCATCAAGTTGGAACCGACCCGTAGCTGATCCCCCAGAGGGTTTTCAGAGGTAGTTAATAGCACGGGAGGAAACTGCCCATTCTTCTTCCATGGAGCAGCTGGTGAATTTGAACTGCATGCCTTCAGGATTGCAGTGCAGTTTCTTGCCACTAGGCCACCAGAACAGCCCTATAGGACACTGTAAAACTGCTCCAAAGGATTCCAGTTTCTTTACAGAAACTGTCACTTCTTTTTCCTGCAAAGTGGCTGGTGGGTTTGTACCACTGACCTTCAGCTAGCAGCCAGACTAGCAACTGTGCAACAGGACTCCTTGTTTACACAACATGCCTTTATAAACCCTGCAGAAGAATTTAAGTTTTTGTATGACAAAACCGGATTATTTCGTTTAATAGAAAATAGAGTTGAATTACCTTGTATTCTTTAAAGAATCCAAATTAGCTTGATGACACTTAAACCAAGAGTGAAAACCAAGGTAAGGCTTTCAAAGTGTTTATCTCCCCCTATACCAAATTAAGTGAGCTCTGGTGGCCTAATGGCAAGAAGCTGCCCTGCACTCCCAAGGCATGTGGTTCAAATTCACCAGCCGCTCTGTGAGAGGATGGGCAGTCTCCTCCTGTGTGATTAATTGCAACTGAAAATCCACTGGAGGATCAGCTATGGGTCAGTCCCAAATTTATGGTGCACAATAACATACCAAATTAAGGGAACTCTGGTGCCGTAGGGATAAGGAGTTGCACTGCCAGCCCAAAGGCAGGCAGTTCTAATCCACCAGCTGCTCTGTGGGAGAAGTGAGACTTCAAACCTCTGAAAACCATCTGGAGGGTCAGCTATGAGTCCGTTTTTACTGGACAGCACACAGCAACCACCTATCAAAGTAACCTAAGTCACAGAATCATAGAATAGCAAACCATAAAATATATAAATTAATTTAAGTTCTAGGAAGAAAAAGGAAAAGGAGTTGCTGAGTTGGAATAGGACAATGGTGTTTGTCACTTCTGACTCTTAGTTGCCTTATGCTGTTGTTAGTGTACCATCAAGTCAGAACCGACCCATAGCTGACTCTCCAGTGGGTTTCCAGAGGCAGTTAATTGCAGCTAGCACCGAGGCAACTTTAACGATTGTGCAACCGGGCTCCTTGTTTACTCAGCATGTCTCTATAAATCCTGCAGAAGTATTGCCTTTTTCCTCAGAGCAGTGAAATGAAGTTGGCTATGTTAAAATGTCATAAATATGGCAGTGCACTTAAATCATAATTATTAGTGCTTCCTTGGAGTGATTTATGGCCAGATTTAACTTGGTGTTCCTGTTGTTTAGCCCCATCAAGTCAGCTCCAACTCACAGTGACCCTGTGTACAACAAAGTGAGACCTTGCCCAGTCATGCACTATATTCAGCCTCTGATAACTTTCTGAACTTACTCATTTTCCTCCCATAGTAGCATATTTCAACTGACATTCAAGAACTTATTCAGTCTCTGACTCAGCTGAATTAGTCACTGCTGAGCTGGAGTCCATTGTTGCAGCCACTGTGTTAATCCATCTGCTTGAGAGCCTTCCTTGTTTTTGTTGAGCCTGATGTAGTTTTCCAAAGACAGACTTCTCACCTGATAACATGCTCAAAGTATGTGAAACAAAGTCTCACCAGCCTCACTTCTAAGGAGCATACTGACTGCACTTTCTAAATTGATTTGTTCTTTTGACAGTCTGTGGTATATTTCTTATTATTCACCCACACCACAATCCAAAGGCATTGAATCTTCTTCATTTTTCATTATTCATTGTTGAATATGTGTATGAGACAATTGAAAATATCATGGTTTGGATCAGGTGCACCTGAGTCCTCAAAGTGTTATCTTTGCTCTTTAGTACTTTAAAGTGGTCCCTGGCAGCCTGTTTTCCCAGTGCAATATGTCTTCTGATTTCTTGACTACTTAGCTACTTGTAATTGTTTTGCCACCATTTCTTTTCACACTAGTAAAGTTTCTTTGGATTTCTATTATTAGTCTCACTCAAGTTTTATTTATGTATTTTTAATGAAGAAACAAGGGAACATCTAGAGGCTGGAATTTTATTTGATTGCTGTTGCCTGAAAGCATATTTCTCTTTCCTTCTCTAATTGCTGTCAAGTTGGAACTGTTGGAACTGAATCATAGCTGACCCTTCCTTCATTGAATTTCAGAAACTGTAAATCACACATGGAGGAGATTACCTTTCTCCCTTAGAGATGCTGATGGATTCAAACCCCAAAGTGACACAGTCTTGGGAATAGCAGCATAACTCCCCACAGATTCTGCCACCAGAGATCCTTGAGTATATATAAAAATCTGTGAATACAGTTAACATGTTGCTGCACACTTTTAAATAAAATATGATCTAGGATCCACAGTCAATGCCCATGAAAACAGCCAGAGTACTCCTTAGAAGCAAGGATGATGATAGCTTTTCCTCACATACTTTGGGCAGTCCCTGGAAAAAGAAGACATGCTTGAGAAAGTAGAGGGTCAATGAAAAAAAAAATTAAAAAAGAAGACCATCAATGAAATAGCTTGATTAAGGGGCTTTTTGGGGGGGGGGCAATTTTCTTTCTTTTTTTTTTTCCTCTTATTATACTAGCTTATTTAGAAAACTCAGATACACTATTTCTCACACCAGTTCTTTCTCATTCCCTAATCCTTCCATCAAATTGTGCAACCCCATGATTAATCCACCCCACCCCCATTGATCCTTACCCCTCCCCCCACCTTGGATCCTCATGCTCATGATACAATAATACAGTATTTGTCCTTATGGGACTGAGTTCACTCAGCGTAATGTTCTCCAGTCTCTCCAATTTAGGTAATAACTTACAAAATTATTGCTCCTGAAGGGGGGGGGTAAATTAATACTCCTGTGTGTTGTGTAGTATTCTATTGTGTGAACACCATAACGTATCAATCCACTCGATTGTAGCAATACAGTCACTTTAATCATCTTCCTTAAAGCACAGGAGAGAGTGAGAAGCCCATACAAGATAGGTAGGGCAGCACTGAACAACAGTGTAAATCACTATTATTATATTTAATATTTAATTATTTAATAAATATTAAAATATTTAATAAATATTAAAAATATTAAATATTTAGATTTAATGCCCATAGTTGACAGGAATGTCCTAAAATCTGAAATGTAGCATAGTTAATTATGTCACTGCTCATAGTCAGAACAACTTCTGCTGAAAAGATACACTCCCACAGTCAGGAAGATAGAAGGTGTGTTTGTTTGGAGCTGAGTGCTGCTTCATTGCTGGCTAAGGCAAAGAGGTTTACAATGTTGATTGTGCATGCTAAAGAACATCTTTGCCTTGAATATTCACTTCCCATGCGGATTTGTAAAAATTATATTTTAATGCTTATTCTTAATATCACTTTTCAGTTTTCCTCACGGGAGAAAAAGCCAACTCAGTGTTAAAACGCTACCGAAGAGCTAATGGATTTCTTGAAGAAATAAGACAGGGCAACATCGAACGTGAATGCAAAGAGGAAATCTGTACATTTGAAGAAGCAAGAGAAGCTTTTGAAGATAATGAAAAAACTGTAAGTATATGGCAAAAATGTTAAATTCTTAGGGCTTTGCCAAACATTTAGGTGCATATTTAATATCTGTATTCCCTAAAATGTACGCTCTGCTAATGATGAAATATTATCTTTTGAAAATCTATGAAAGTGGCATCTAACTAATGCTATAAGGGTGAGAGGGCTATGCTCACGTTTCCGTGTCTTTAAAGGCCTTGTTTCTGTAGACTGCTGCTGAGCATAGTTTTAGCATCTTGACATAAGGGAAGCATTTATTTCACCCAAGGCTGGAAAGTTATCGATAACGTTATTAACCCTCTCTGTCTAATCAGAAAGAAAAAAGGATGGCAAAAGCTAACAGATGCTGGCAATGCTCTAAAATATTTTACGTGTCTTACAAAGAAAAATCATGTCCAGACTTCCCTCCTCAACACTTGTGAGAATAATACTAGACTTCACTTCTCTATACTGTAGAGTGCATGCTGTCTATTTAAGGGAAGCAGGAATGAGAAAGCGCAAGACAATAATGTAAATTCCATAAACCTGCTGTACAATTGGAAATTGCATTACCAGAGATAACAGTTGTATAAAGGTCCATGCCTGCACATCAGAAGGACTGTTAGATCATGAAAAATAACAAGCCATCTCAGATATGGTAAAGAGAGAGCAAATACATTTCAAGAACAAAGGAAGCCGAAGAGCTTTAAAGAAAGAGTGGATTTGATCTCTTTTCAGGTATATAAGGATCCAGAGGTGAAAGCAAAGAGGTCAAGGAAAGCTGACCAAAAAGGCATGACTAATAGATTCCAGCATGCACAGCAAAGGCAAAAATCTGTTTAGAAATCGACAAGTTTCATTGATTTCTAAAATCTCTGAGTGGTATAAATGTTTAATGTATTCAGCTTCTAGGCCAAAGGTGCAAGTTCATCAAGAGAGGCCTTGGAAGAAAGGCCTGACTACTTTCAGGAACTCAGCTATTGAAAGCAGTTCTACAAGGTCACTATGATTCAGAACTGACTCAACAGCAACTGATGGTTTTAATCTTAAATTACACGGTGAAGCACAAGTTGCTGTTGTTGAGATGTGCTATTGAGTTGGCTCTGGCTTGTTGTACACAGACACAGCAGAAGAAAACCATGCCTAATCTGTGTTTCATTGATTATGCAAAGCCATTTGACTGTGTGGATCATAACAAACTGGCTGACTCTGAGAAGAATGGGAATACCAGAACACTTGATTGTGCTAACGAGAAACCTATACTTGGACCAAGAGGTAGTCATCAGAATGGAGCAAGGAAACACTGCATGGTTCAAAATTGGGAAGGGCGTATGCCAGGGATGTGACCTGTCTCCATACCTTTTCAACCTGTATGCAGAACAGATCATCCGGGAGGCTGGGCTCTATGAGGAGAAATGTGGCATCAGGATTGGTGGAAGATTCATCAACAATCTGTGTTATGCAGATGACATAACCCTGCTTGCTGAAACTGAGGAGAACCTGAAATGCTTGCTGCAGAAGATCAAGGACTGCAGCCTTCAATATGGATGAAGGCTCAATGTCAAGAAGACAAAGATTCTCACCACTGGACCAATTGGCAGCTTCATGATAGATGGTGAAGAGATTGAGAGTGTTAACAGCTTTAGTTTGCTTGGCTCCACGGTCAACACTCTTGGCACCAGCAGGCAGGAAATGAAAGGATGTATTGCGATGGGAAAGTCTGCTGTTAGGGACCTCTCCAAAGTACTGAAGAGCAATGGTGTCACTCTGGAGACTAAGGTGTGCCTGATACAGGCCATG